TTTGTCTTGTGCAAGTCAGTACACCCTGACCGCTAGACTAGACCTCCTCGTCTGAGAAGCTGGGATACCTAGTATAAACAACCGTGTAGAAACCGCATACGTCAAGCATGTTTGAAATGAATCAATTTCACGTAAAACCTCCACATCTTCAACCTGTTTTGCCCGCCTTGCAGCAAACTCGAGCAGACGCGAGCTTGACAACAGGAAATCGGACAGCTTTGCCTGGCAACTAAACTAGGTTTCAGCTCCGTGCCTTCCCCCTTTGAAGGGTCCAAGTTGTCATGTTTGCATGGTGCAGTACTATTTTACTGCTCACAGTCGCTCTTTTGATCATGAGCTGCGCTAGGAAGCGAGAAGGTTCAAACAAAGTACGAGAAACACTAGATAAAACGGAGACCCATGCCTGCCCGACGGAAAATGGCCCAGAGAAGGTAGGATGAGCGGCTGCAAACCACCACCCCCTGGACCACTCCCAAAAGGGAACAGGCATGAGCCCCAAAAGCCTCTACAGAACATGAACATCTTGTGGCCTTCGTGCATCCCATCTCGATCAACGAGAATATGTATGATTCACACTCGGGGTGGGCCTGCAGGGCTGGTTTTGCTGTGCGGAGTAATACTTGAGAAAGATCCGCGCAGCTAATGCATTAAACCTTTTACATTAAGTACTTTCCTCTCAATATTTTCCCCAAATTCTATAGTGACCTTCAAAAGGAACCCGGTAATGCCGAGAGACAGCCGACTGGTATCTGATACTGCCTGTTACCGTGACTGCGACTTTAAAAAGCGTTTCTTGAAAGAAGACTTGCGGCAAAGTTCTCCATGCTGCTGTCGGCAATGCAAGCATTGATGTTTCATGGCATATTCCCGCAGTTCCGCTCATCATTGTATTTTTTGACAGCTATTGTCATCATCACGCTTTTCGGCTTTTCTAATGCAAATGCAGCTGGAACATATATGCATAATAACTTTTGACTTCAGTATCTCCCGGTTGGCCTCAACCTTTGGAGGCACGCGGACAGCGACCCTGCGAAAGGCATGTGCTCTCAAAAGGCCATCGGCAACCCCGCAAAACGCAAAGGGCAGTTCCCTCCATACTATGGGTTGAACTCTTCCGTGATGTCACAAAGTTGAAGGCAGGCAGAGGACAACCTGTGAGGGTGCGAAGTCATCGTTTGCAGCACGCTTCACGGAAGCAAGCACTAGGCACGAAAGTATAAGGGCTCATCCGGGCATCCCCTCATGCCCAATAAGTTCAGATAGGGGCCTTGTGAGTTGGGGAACGACTAGAAACCCCATGCTTGGAAGCGGGTAGCTATACGCAACCGAGGCTTGAATACCCAATCCTGGGTTGTACATGGCTACAAAGATCATACTTCTCCTACTTCAGCCTNNCCCCCCCCCCCCCCCCCCGCACAACTGCCCAAACTAGGTAACTAGGAAGTCTCATCTCCGTCCGGACTAATAACCAACAACATGAAGCCAAGACTCAATAGCAGCTCTTTGGCCACCAGCTGCGCCAAACGACTTGCCATCACCACATCCTCGCGAACTACTGAAGCACGTTGCGCCCTTTGCTGCGAATAGGGGAGTTTCTGACAATTTCCCGCATCTGATCTATAGTCTTTATAAACTCCTAGTATCACCCGTATCCCCCGTAATAAGCCCCTGTGAAATCCCCTAAACAACACCCTTTGAATAGTTTAGATTATGGCTCACATGATCCGCCTTACAGAAACCCATAATCCCGCTAGAACCCCTATGTATCTCCAGGGTTTCCGAAGGTCCTCCGCTTTGAGAAACTCTCATAGGAGCCTTGCGATTGGCAAGTGCCCACGCGAGGGTGGTGCGTGCGGTGGTCTTGGACCATCCCCTCCTTCTACTCAACCCCCCCCGGAACCCCCATCAAATATGAAAAAATACCATTGTACGTATAATAGGAAAGGGCCCGTGATTGTGTCTGCCAAGTCCTTTAGGAACTGAACGGCCTAGGGGTGAAGGTCGGAAAGAGCCTCCTCACTCACATGTGAGGTGCCTTTCCAGCTTCCGAATTTACTTGAAAGGTAAAGAATGAAGAGCTAAGTATGTTAGGGGTTATGTGGATGGACCCACTTTGTGCTCAAACCCCGCACAATAGCGCAAAAGTTCTTTGCTTGTCCATTCAGCATGGCTTTTGGGTGCTCATACCTAAATACATCTGGAGCCAATTGATCCGCAAGCAAGTCCTTCCACAGCAGGGAGTCTGTGGCCAAAATCAACGCATAGTCTGCGTGCACCTTCCAGGGTCTCGCTGAAGGACTGCCTACGGTGCGTTCTACGAATCTCCTATGCGCCTGGTCAGGTACTGTAGGCTGAACTACAGAATCTGGGACTCAGTGACCGTCAGAACGCGGACCGGTGAAGGAAACCACGTGACATGCCAAGTCGGGCCTTGCAGAAGAAGACGAATGGACTATGCAGTGGGATTTTTCTGGTCCAGAATGACAGGCTCCTGCTGCAGATGTAGCAAGAATATTCAAAACCTCCAACTCTATCAGGCCCTCAGTCACCTACCACTAAGGTAGCTCTGGCAGAGTAGGTCCACTTCATGCCCCCCGTGGAGGCTATGGTAAACTTGCAGGCACGGCATGTTTGCAATGCCCACCACCAAAATGCTACAGTAGAGTCCTTTTTGCGGACGGTCGTGGGATACGAGGCAAGACCGTGTTTTTGTAGTATAACCCCTATACAATCCCTATCATTCCTGTAATTTTCCATTCTGTATTCCATTCTATTTTCCATCTGCTTTCCATTAATTATCCCAATATACCCTCAATATATACCCTATTCTACTATTAGTTTCCATTTTCTTCTTCATTATCCCAACATAACCCCAAGACATGCCCTATTCTACTATTAGTTTCAATTTTCTTCTTCATCGTCCCAATATAACCCGAAGATATACCCTATTCCACTATAGTAGTTTCCATTTTATTTTCCATTGCCCCCATATAACCCCAATATAACCAGTAACTTTGTCAGGCCTCATCTGGCCGCCCATCATACAACAGGAAGTCCGCGCCGAACTTTAACGAATCAGGACACACCTTGCTCACTTGGGCAACAGTTACTGGTTACATTAGTTATATTGGGGTTATATTGGGATAATGGAAAATAAAATGGAAACTACCATAGTGTAATAGGGTATATATTGGGATTATATTGGGATGATGGCAGGTGGTGGGGTGCTTCGCTAAGGGTACCAGGATGCAGTATGGAGACTCAATGAAGTAGAGCTGGGTAGGTCGTGTAGGACCGGCTGCATCTCTGTTTCAGACTGTGCGAGACAGTTTCCGGACTGCGCAGGAAATCCAGCAAATGCTTTAGAACCCACGTCGGTGCAGACAGCTTGCCAAACCACTTTTGGAGTTTACCTAAGAGGAATGGCACAACAGGTAAGATCCATGATTGCGGAATGCCATCCTTCCACTTGATTCCGGCTGTGAAGGCTGAGTAGGCTTCGCACATGACTGGTTCCCACTTCAGGCACTTCAGTCTTCTGTCTGTGCGTTGACGGTCAGGGTTAGGAAGCCACTGCCGGCGGAGCGCAGATTGAAACAGCAAAGCTTGAACACATTAGCGGACTAAGCTGATCCTTTTTTGCAACGGGCTAGATAGATCCATGGAAACCTCCAGGCAAGCGCTAACAGAGGAGTCTGATAGTTGGAGCCTGGGTCCACCCAAACTAGCTTGTCTCAGGCCGCATGAACTCCTTTGATCTGGATGAGCCGCTTTGGAATCATAAGGAGAGACCTGCCCTTTCACTTGTAATCAGGTAACGGCTGAACTCCTTCCGGAAACAGGAATGGGCCAATTGTACGACCCTCCTAGCCTGCGGTGAAGCTAGGTGATATAGTATGACAGCAATATCGCAGCAAAAATACAGTAACATAATAGCTGTACATTCCATACTGGAAGGAACAAGACACCCCAACCCCTCCAGGGCCGCGAACAGTCCAGCCAGCCAGTCGGTAGTGGCGGTAAACAACATAGCGGCTTGGGAACTCTGTCACCTGCGGTGTAGGGGGTAGAGGATGCTGTTCGAGCCACGCTCACATATATGGTAATTTGGTAGTGGACAAGGGATTCTCTTTTTGACATGAACTGGGGACCATGTTGAACCACCATAAGATAAACGGCGCCTGCTGCTAGTGTTCCCTTTTGAAAGGATAGATACCTGCGCAACACGTAGGCGCACGCAGAAAGAGGGAGAGAGAGAGAGAGCGAGATGATGCATACAAAGGGTTACCTACAGAAAAGGTACAATCATCTCTTGAAATCTTGATTATATAGGGGTAATATTGGGGTTATATAACCCCTATATAATCCCTGTAATCCCTGTAGTTTCCATTTTATTTTCCATTGTCCCAATATAGGGGTAATTGATGGGCCACGCGCTTCAGTATCAGCTGAGGTCACGGCCAGCTCGCAGCACTCCTGAAAGAGGCCGTCAGCTGTCAGCACCTGGGGGACTATGCAGGAACCTGAAGGGACAAAATAAGTAGAGCTCGCGAGAATGACAAAAAGTGCTATCGTGCGAGGTCTAAGAACCTAGATCCTCCTGAGGGGCCTGCGTTTTCACATCTAGTAGAATGTGATAAAACATATATAAGATTTCAGGAGGTATCTCACAGAATGAAAGGCGGCATTGACGGTCGAGTTTTTACAAACACCAAGTCATGAAACTGCCCCTGCGGCATTTGGAATGGGCTTACAGTGCGTCGAACAGAGTTTCAAGCAACTTACTGGGTGAACCTAGCGTAGCAACGCGCTCAATGGAAAGAAACTTAACTGCTAGTAGGCTCCATGAATAGCAGGACCCCACCAAATAAAAACACCTAATATGCCATAATCCTTCTTCTGGGGGCCCCCCGAAAGCGCCGACAACTTTGGAAAGCCCCTGCTGGAACCGTCTTTTCCTCACGCATCTGCTGTCCCTGCGTCTGACACGGGCGACAGGCTCACTTGCCCAGGTGCTTCCTCAGGTTCTTCTCGGGGCTAGTAAGGAAACACGGGAACATATGGGGCTTAGGGTGTAGGGTTAAGTAAGGAATATGGGAATACATTATATAGGGACTACATTCACTTGTTCACTGTTCACTACTAGCCTCCAGTAAGTCTTTGGAGTTTACCGGAAGGGAGGTTCCCTGCCACTGCAGAAGAGGACCAGTGATCGGAGAAAACCCCTTGTTGGGAGCGGCCTGACCAGCCATCCTACTTGGAGGCCCGTGGGTAATTGCAGTGTAACGTTATATTGGGGTAGTATTGGGGATACATTGGGGTTCTATTGCGATAATGGAAAATAAAATGGAAACTACTATTTAGGGTTTGATGAGCCTCCAAGTACAACCACCGCATGTAAAACTCGGTTTGGAACATGGACTGGACGCATGCGAAGACAGATTAGAAGACAGGTTCGCTGAGGGTGCAGGGAGAGAATGTTTGACATGTGGCCTTTCGGGGGGCAGGAGCATGCTGGTTGCATTAAGACCCCTTGGATCTTGCTGCCAGTTGCACTTGGACTCTGGGGTACATGGTATACCGAACGAAACCTATGGCCGCGCAAGCCCTTTTCTAGGCTCTCTTGCTGTGGATATGCCAGTGTGCACTACATTGCTCACTCTCTGGCACGGCACCCATCCTTTTTTTCTGCTGGGCACATGTAACATTCCCAATACGAGTATCCTCAAGCTGACTCTTATTCCTGTCTGCTCGAACTGCCCTTACACACTTTGCATAACATAGCCTCAATGACACAGCTCGCCAACTGCAGCTTGCCTGATTCGATGTCGCCCGCTATACTAACAGTGTAACGCTGCAAACAAGAGCACTGTATCGCAGGGGCTGTCCCACCACAGCAACAGTTCTTAGCCAGCGAAGCCCTGGTTCACTACATTTGCCGCTGTGCATTTTTTGGCGTGGGCAAACCAAACCCAAACCCTAGAAAGGTATCTAACCCAAGTATGACCATCGTCATCCTCTGAACAGGGTCTGAATTGGGAAGCCACGCCGTGCTTCCAATCTGATATTTCCAACAACCTCAATATCTACTGACCAGAGCCGTAGATTCAGCCCAGATACAGCTTTTGAACCTATGGGCCTTGCGGTTTGTTTGCTCTTTTGTACATGCATACGATGCAACCCTGACCTAAGCCCTGCAAGCCAAACCCTCATTTTCCGAACCTACGACCCGTACCCTACGCCCCGTGAGAATTTCTGAAAGAATAGGGGTGTGCCGGTGTGCCTGGTATAGCCTCCCCCCCCCCCATGAGGCAGTCTTTGCCCTAGGCAGGCGCCAAAAAACTTAACAAAGTCTCACTTGGGCAATTCTACAAAACCTTTTCGCGGCGTATCTATCGTTAAGCCATTTTTACTGTAGGTACCGGCTTGTTTCTATGGAATCCTACCATTGGCGTACGTGAATTTAGTGCAGTGAGGAAATTTAATTGAGTTCGTGAGGTCGTGAAGTTATGAGCTTATGAATTAATTCACTCCGTTCATTATTAAAGCGAGCGAAGCGAAAGGAGTAAGTGAAATGAGTGAAGTGAGTTTATTTCGTAGGATTTAATTATTCAGAAATCTATTTTGGGCTCCCTGGTTCTTTTTTAGCCCACCCAACCACCCCCCCCCCCCCCAGTTCACAGCCCGGCTTCATCATGTAGTTGTATGCCTCGCCCTCCTCTCCGAAATCCACCACAGCCACGCAGCTTGCACCTACGACCTTGCGCGGCATGCCGTCCTTGTCCTTAGTGCTTGACAGACTTTACGGTAAAGTTGAGGAGTTGTGGGATTATAAAAACTTCTATAGGGACTGCATGAGGCCTATGGATTTCTAGGGGCAGTGCTCTTCTACATACTGTTTTGTGGGTAGCAGCAGCAAAAAATCGACTGCACAGGTGTTGATATGACTCGATATGACAAGGGTCGATCTTGCAAAGCCCAGCCCACTCGCCCAGGCTCTTGTTGTCTGGGACATCGATGACCGGAACATTCCTGGCCGTTGCTACATGCCACAACCTAACTGACATGGAGCCCCAAATCGTGTCGTATAAAGGCTTCTGTCTTTTCATGTCTTTTCAGAACAGGCTGCGTGGGGTTCAATTTTGTTTCGGCAAGGTGCAATGACTGAGAATTTTCTTCAGCACAACACGACAAGAATGCGTTGAGAGGCAGCATGTGGAGGCAAGACATCTTGATCAGCTCGTGAGGCAGGAAAAAGCTTTCAAGAAGTCAAAGAGCTTTCTCAGTAAGACTGTAGGATACCCGCATGTTTGGGCAGTCACACCTGCTGGGAACCAGCAGCTAGTAGCTAACCGTGCTTCGTGGCGGGAGTTGGCCTGCTATACAATACAAATTAATTACCCCGGACGGCGACACCTACGTCGCAAGCACAGATGTTGTGGTGGCTTCAGGGTAGTGCAGCCTCTGGTGAGAGGAGCTTGGCTGCTTTCGGGCAGCTGCTATGCGTGAGAGGGGGTGCTAGCGCATGCCTTGCGCTTTGCAAGGGGGTTTGCTCATTTGAGCATTTTGTGGTAGCTTAGCTTCAGACTATGACGTCCTCGTGCAGAGCATCCTGGTCGTTGCGTCCATGGTACAGATTTGTTGGCCATTGAGGCCCTATGCATAGAGGTGGTGGCTTTGAAGATGCAAGTTCATCTCTGGCTTGGTTTTGGGTGGTTTGGGCGGCGAGGCCCTATGTATAAGGGTGGTGAATCTGGAGGTGCAAGTACATCTCTGGCTTGATTTTGGGTGGTCTGCATCGTGCAGTCGTTGAACCGCTGTTGTGAAGAGCGTTTGCATTTTGGGTTTGGTTGGATTCGGGAGGAGCCGCTGGCACAGCTGCTCACACCATGGGTGGTGATGTTGTCTTCTTGTCCGAAGCCAGATATTTCTTTGGGTGCGTGCTGCGTGCGACTGGAATCCCGCAAAACGCACGTCGCTTGTGGGTTCTGCGGCCGTCCATATGGTCACATCAATGGCATGCGCAAGGCCATCGCTTCGACTTGCATCCGTCGCTACTTCTACGATGTATTCAGCATAACGTTGCAATCCTTAAGCAGACCTTGAACTAGCCTCAAACGCTTCTCATGCACCTCGCGAACGCTCATGTTCGGAAATGCATGCGGCCTTCAGCTAAGTTCGCTCCAGGCATATTCAACCATCAACGACAAGCTAAACCTCAACGCAAGGCTATGACACCACATTCTGGATGGCTATGAGTCACTCAATAACACCTGCTGGCAAGCTTACTGCACAGGCTTTTCGTTGTTCATCGCGCTTGCAACAAAAGATAGGACAAGGTTCTTCTCCACGCAAAGCCCCTGAATGAGCTTCTTGTAGGTCGCCTCATCACGAAGGGCTTGGACAGTATTGTTGGGCAGCTTTGCTTAAGTTGCTGGCGGTAGTGGGCCATGGCCATTGACGCATTGGTATGAAATGTTATGAGGTTTTCTATTAAGAAGGGGCCCCAATAGAGACCCCATTATACAATTATCCTTATTACATAGACACCCTTATAAGCCCTTATACCATAATCCTCATTCAAACTGCTAGTATCCCCCTTAATCAGCCCTATAATACTCCCCTATATAGTCCCCCAATATACCCCCCTTCAAGGAATTTAGACGCTCACATAGACCTGCAAGATGGGACCCCATACTTGTAGTCTAGCAGTATCTTAGAGTCCCGCTGCCCATCGATGGTCTCCCCTTCAGTAGAAAGACTATAGAATCGTCCCAAACCATACAGGGATCCCTATATGCCTCGTGTTCTATTTACTTAAGGGGGGACTATAGATGGACTTTCTTTCATGAGCGCTTTTGCCGAAGCAGGCTTACCGCAGATCAATGAACATGTCAATCTGAAAACTCAGTAGGTGCGGCCCGATATCGCCAAACAGCTCACTGGCATGCCGAAGCACAAACGCTACTGTTGCGAGTACTCCGCTGCCAGTGCTGTTGCAAATGACTGCACCCCAAAGCACACCCAGCAGTCCCTTCGCATCGAACCCTTGAAATTTGGGACTACGGACGTTAACCCGAAAGGCGAACAACATCAGCTGCACCGCAAGCTGATCCTTTTTCTGTGAGCTGGTAGCGGGCCTCGTTGCAGGACTCGGCCATGAAGACCTGAGCTAGGTTTCATGGGGATAATACGAATACTAAGAATAATGGTAATACTAGTACTAGTACTAGTACCAGTACTAGTACTAGTACTGGTAGTACTGGTAGTACTGGTAGTAGTGGTAGTAGTGGTAGTAGTAGTAGTAGTAGTAGTAGTAGTAGTAAGGGCTGGGGGTCTAAGGTTTTTGGGTTTGGGGTTAGTTTGGGTTCATAATTGCCCACCAGGGAGAATCGAATGGACCACAAATTTTCAAAGAACATAGAATGCCAACTGGGGATTAGAGGTATGCAAGGTGTTCAGCAAGGTGGTCGCATAGGAATACTCAAGAAGCTGTGAGAATCTGTTAGGAGCCTGTCTTGCTGAAGAGGATTCGTTCGGCATTGCTCAAGTACATCGGCAGCATTTGCACCATCAACAATGTCCCCAGGCCTGGGGACCTCGCACTGGGCCCACCTAAAACCCTAAGACCTTTTCCTAGAAGTTTGATGGAACTAACAACCAGGCCCCGCACATTGAGGGCATACAGCTGAATCATTGCTGAGCATAACCATTAAACATTAAACCTTGAACCTTTCTCACAGTACAACCCAAGAAGAAGTTTTACCCTCAACCCGGACCCAGAACCCCAGAACAGCCCAAACCCCAAACCGCATATGAAAATTTCAGCTTCTACTACCATTCCCCAAAAAAGGAACCAAAACCCTAAACCCTAATCCCTCAACCCTAAACCCTAAACCCTAAAACCCTAAACCCTAAAACCCTAAACCCTAATCCCTCAACCTGTAGCAGCCTAGGGGCCACCTGCGCCTTGCAGGCCTCGACATGCTTGGCCACCTCACAGGGAACGTTTTTCCGGCTTGAGCACTTCTGTGCTAGGTGAGAATGCTACCAACAACCAGTAAAATATTACTTTAGGGATCTAAGTATACAAGCACTACCTACATTGGGCCCTAAAGTCTGCAAACATTACTTACATCGGGCTACTTGGATCCCTATAGGGTTCTTTGAGATGATAAGATACTTCAGGATGTTGCCTGGTTATAGCCTGGGCTTTTTCCCGACCCAAGCTTCTTTGCGGTAACTACACCTAAACCCTAAACCCTACCATCCAAAGCCTCCCCAAGAACTACAAGAACACAATTCTCTGCTGGTAGGAAGGCTAGGCTCCAGGCTATTATTATTATTATTAATATTCCTATTGTTACTATTGTTACTCATATTTCTAGGAAAGTATAGTTATGACTTGACCACCCACCTCGTGCAGCCCGCGGATGACTCCATCCACCATCAAGGACTTCTTGAGTACCTGGGTGGGCACAAAGTCCGTAACCCATCCAAATAATACCGTCCGTGCTGGGGTTAGGAGTCTCTTTATGAGACCCGCAATACACAGAAACTCCATGTTCATCCCTGTTTTTTTCTGAAAATTCTCGGTCCCAGAAACGCCACGAACTGCGCCGTTGAGGTCGGTGACTTCTTCCTCGGGCTCTGCCTCTGGGACGACGACCTCCTGGAGCCGTGGCTTCGTGTTAGGGCATAAGCTAAAACGAGGAACTTGGGATTTCAAGTTTCAGGGGAGTTGAAGGGTTATTGTTGAGGGGCAGAAAAATTCAGCAAGATGAACACCTTGTGTACAAGCACAACTTGGGCGTGTGAACAGATGGGCTTTCATGGGCACACACCTTTCGGGCTACGCAAGATTCCGCGCAGCGGCCGCATGGCTTCGGAGCTTTACTGTCCACAAGCTTGGGCATGTGAACAGGTCGGCTTCCATGGACGCAGACACTTCGGGCTATGCAAAATCCCGCGCGTCGGCTTCGGAGTTTTACGGTCGGGTTCCCGGGACGCACCTTCATGCTCCAGGCCCTTATCGTCGTTGTAGTAGTAATTATAATAGAAATCCCGGCTCAACATTAATCAAGCCCCTTAGATTTAAAGAATTCTGGGGGGCAACGTCGAGGGTCCAAGGGCAGTTTAACGGCAGAGGCACTTCTTGGGCAAAGCACCCCCTAGATTTGCAGAAATGTATTTCCAAACCAAAACACAACAGGTTTTCCATGGTTTCTGATCAATTTGGAATAGGTTTTGATTCATTTGCACATGACTACATTGCATTTGATTCGTTTTCACCTTTAAAGCTTTAAGGTTTAGAAACACTCACTTACTTGGCTGTTCTGAAATAAGATTCTATAGGAAATCTGATTCTGAAACCTGATTTGCCTAGAAAAGTTTTTAAAGGCTCGAGCATTACTTCCTGAGCTACCTCTCACGGAGCTTCCGTGAGATGGTCTGTGTTTATGTCTGGAGACATGGGAAAGCCGGACGGATCTCCAGAATAATGGGCCTGGCATGTTGCAGGGGGGCGGGGCACCCTGATCATGGAAGAGCGCAGATTAGGATTGGCAGCAGCAGCAGCGGCTGCGGCAGCAGGAGTAGTAGCAGCAGCATCAATAGTATCAGCAGCAGCAGCAGCAGACTTAGCCCGCTTTAGTGCGGGACGGCGTCGGGACTTCCAACCTGCCTGACTAGGACGACGACGGATTCTGCCAGGACAACAAGTTGTACTAGCAACAACAGCAGGAGCAGCAGCGGCAGCAGCACCTTGGCACGCCAGCAAAACATCTCGGAAGAGCCACAGGTTGAATCAGAACAGTGATAAGTACGGTTTACCGTAGCTACACAAGTACCACAAGATGCATCGCAGCCAGAAGCTCGTTGAAAGCCATGCGGCGAACGCAAGCGGCTACAATACCAGCAGCTTGGTTTCGAAAACCCAGACATCCTGACCCCGAAGCATTGATGGACCTCACAGTGATACACCTCAAAAAAGGCATGTCAACTCATGCTACAGGGCTGTCTTCACATATAGCTGACACGAAGATGATGACTCCACCCGGATCTCCATTTTTGTGCCGCTTGTTGGCACGATTGCCGTGCTGAATCTTGCTATCCAGACCCCCATGAAACGATCCTCATCATCCAGCTCGGCCATGGTTTCGGAGGGGCGCAAGAAGGCAACGGAACAAGTCAGATGCTAAACAACCTGTGAGCCCATCAAGCACAAGCTGGGCATGACCAACAATCCATGCTTGAGTATAACGCTATATGGCCTACTACACTACAAGCCACAGTCCAAGCTCTGCATGAGAATAGAGTCCAAGGCCAGGTCTTCGGTGATTCGGAGTTTGTAGCCGAAACTCGCGAAAAACCAAGCCCTAAACCCAAAAACTCTACGGCCCACGCCTAAACCAGTGAGCAGAGGATCGTAGTCCCCTCATCAGAACCGGTAACCCAGTGAGCAGATGACTGAGGCCAGGGCTCGTGTGCTAGAAGGAGCCGACACGTCCAGGACCCGCAGCTCTGACCTTTGTCTCTATAGTTTCCATTTTCTTTTCCATTACCCCAATATTACCCCAACATAAAATATAAACCTAATCTTATCCCCAGATACTATAGTAGTTTCCATGCTTGCTCGGGGATGAAGGGATTTGCTTCTCGGAGCGACAGGGGATCCCTGGCGCCACTATACGCCAGGAAGTTGCTCGGAGCTGTTTGATGCCCTTGGAATCAAGATAAGGGTTGTGGTATAGACCTGGATTTCTGCGGCACGGTGCGGTTTATAGGTGGCTCCATGCAGACGAGAAAAGGAAGGCTTCCCTGCCCACACCCCCATCTTGGATATTTACAGCTGCTGAAGCGGGAAGCTGTTTGGGGATGTTTGGGGCATGCCCTGGCGGTCTGCTGCCACGTTCAAATGCCCCTGTTGAAAAGGCACCAACTATCAAACGTTCTTGACTTGACTGTTTTTGCATGCCCCTTTCAGGAGAATAGACTTCTAGGTCCTTTGAATACTCTCAATTGCATGCTACCGCACATACAACAAAGGGCTAAACAACGTCGCAAGGCGCAAACATTCGCGTTTACGCGTTTAGTGCTTTGCACTCCTAACTCGCCCAGCATGACAATTTTAGTTAATAGCATGTGAGTAAAAACGGATTGGGTTCTATCAGCAACGAAAAGATTACGGCAACAAAACCTAGGTTTGCGCGCCAGTGCCCCTGTCCTAGAGTAAAACTCAAAAGTGTGAAGCCCCCAGGTGGCACATGTCCAAACCAACCATCTTCTCAATGTCAAGAAGGGTAATGCATCTCGCAAGGCGCAGAGGTCCCTTCAAAGAACCTAATCAAGTAAGCCCTACACAAGCCGAATCCTGAAAATGACTACCCTTATCTAAACCCTACACCCTAAACACTAAACGCTGTACAACAGTAGTTTCCATTTTCCTCCATTATCCCAATCTAGGGCTTAGGGTAACCATTCCATAGCTTGCCCGCAGATCGGCGCTGCCTTTGAAATCTTATAACAATAATAGTAATGATAGCACTGGTTTTGCTAGCTATGGGCTACCGAAATCCAAAACTCTTAGCATCTCCCGCCTCCAAATGACTCTTCGGGAGTTTCTTGACTTGGGGGGGGCCTCTGAGGGGCCAGAGACATGCACCGATTATGAGGGGATTAGAGGTGTCCTCATCGTTTTTTTTTTGAGAATTTACGTGTCCCAGACTTAGTCACTGTCGGCAAGCGGTTCTTATGCCGGGCTTACAGGCAAGTAATGCCCTCCCCCTGATATGATTGATCCCCACAACCCCCCCCTACATTTGAATACTCCAAATGTGGTATATTATATTATATGATATTATATATTGGGAATATCTGAGGGTGGGTTTCTTATGTTCACATGCGAACCGTACACTTCTCCATGTCTTTTCCATCTGGTCTCCATGTTCAGTCCTCCATGCTACATATGGGTTGTTCTACAAGATAGGGTCCAGCTTCGGTACCCCTTAATATTAGGTGCCGTGCTATGATTTATACTCCAGAAGGCAATAATTTTGACAACAACCCATATATCTCAGTGTACTCCTTGCAGCCTGCCTCAAACGTACTGGCTGCTAGTATGGAATGGAGTAATGGATCCTTAAATAACCCCCATAAAGCCCAAAGTAACGGTTTTGACAGTTCCCATTTTCTTTTCCATTCCTTCATTCTCGGCTGACGAGGAGCAAGTAAAACCCGAACTCGATGTGTCCCCTCTAACCCCGACTGTCCATCTAATTTCCTACTTTTGATTCTCCATTAACCAAACGCATCCCTAGGTATCCACATAAGCCTGAACGATCACCCAAAGTCGTCCATTAACTGGGAAGGACCGAGGCATGCGCTGCAAGAACAAGGCCTGCTTTCAAAGAATAGCATACAGAGGTGGGTTCAGAGCTTTGGGTTCTGGCTTTAGGGTTTCGGGGTGCGGCTGGAAGAGTTTAGGCTTGTGGCTCGAGGGTAGTTTAGGGTTACTTCCGACTTGGGGACACTTAAGAGCGCATGGCTAGTTGCAGACGGAGCTGTGTGATGGTGTGGGCAATATTTGGGCATTTAGCCTCGTCATCCTAGTTTCAAGGCAGAGCCTAAGAAAGGCCCGATGCTCCTCCAAGGAGGGATCCTGGCAATCCCGAGATTTCAGGGGGACACCCGTACGATTTGGTACGAACATGGGAACTGCATCCTGTTAATCACACAGCCGCGGCGATTGGCATGAGTGCCGACATGACGCTTGAGAGGCCCATAATCCAGACCCCTGAATGATAAACCCCCTCGCCTTAATAGGGATTATAATAGGGATCCTAATATTGAGGACATTATCAGGAGGGGGTTTATTAATCATGGGTCTACATTAGGTGTTCGTCCTGATTTGGGAATCTTGCAACGGCTTATCTGCTTTCTGGGCCTTTACAGAATCCCATACTGGACCATGGAGACGTCCACGCTGAACTTACCAAGCTAGGAGGCTGCTAGTGCAGCTAAGGGAGGACCAATACCCATGCGGTCTCCTTGCTGCTTCCAGGTTCAGCCGTTTCAAATGGGCCTGCGTGTGGGATGGACAGCACGACAACGATCGTAACCAACACAAATCAGGTACTGGAAGCCTGGACCTTTAAACGTCAAGCTCAATAAAGTTTTATGAAGCCTTCGCAGAACATCCACGGCTGGAGCCTCTTCCAGGGATAGGAGGATCGTTCCAAGTTCTCTCACTTCCGTACCGAAGCTCCTCCAGTCAAAAGGGTTTGGGGTTCAAGGTCGCTGTGTGAAGGTCCATATCATGTGGCTGTAAGGCGTGCTTTATGAAGGGTAGCTGCATCAGTACCCGAATGAGGGGCAGGCAACCCTGCTAAGCTGAGTATCTGAAACGTCTTCAGCAAATCTGTCACGAATTTACTGCACCTCCCAAGGATGTACACTCCGTGATTGCAGATTCTAGAAATATGCAACTCCAAACCCAAACCAAAACCTGTACATTTAATCCTAACACTGTCAGAGAGTGTTTGGTTCGACCGCAGGCATTTCAAATGGCTTTATCCTTTGATCTTCTTCTGCCGACATATGTTCATCTAGATGAGGAGTCTCAAAATGCAGGTGTTGGAGGATTCTTGGGACTTTTCTCTTTCTCGGGACACTTCAAAAACATCCTTCAAAAACATCGGATTGCAAGTTCATCTGACCACATGCATGCGGCCTGGTCCGGCGCAGCAGATCCAGTGGGGATCCTGGCAATGAGCGTACGCGGTTGAGGGTTGAGGGTTTAGGTGTGGTGTGATGTCCTGTCAGGACTCAGGTTTACAATGTAGCAACTGCATGCTTTGACTCAAAATATAGAGGATTATAGAGGCATGACCCTGTTACTCATCGGCAAGGGCTTGAGAGTGTAGCTAGAACAGAATAACATCCCGAACATCCGGAACTGGCTACAGGTTTGAAGCTCCAATCTGGTACCTGCTCGAGGTTGACAGCATGGTTTATAACAATTAAGTAAATTATGAGGTCTCAGGACGTGTAAAAATATCGGTTGGGTTTGGACTGGTAGGCATGACAGCCTAAACCCTAAACCCTAAACCCTAAACCCTACATAGTAGTTTCCATGTTCTTTTCCATTCTTTTCCACTAACTCAATATAACCCCTATATAACCCGAATATCACCCCAGTATGGCATGACACCGAGGGTGGAGGCATCGGTGGACAGGCCGTCCCGGGCCTGGAGCACCTCTCTGCCCTGTTCGAATCCCCTCCTCCTAATACTAAACCCCACACCCTCCCATTATTCTATAGGGAATATGTAATATTAGGCGGGGTGGTGGGGCTTCATATTATAGGGGGGATTACTTCGCACCCACCCTTCACGGTTGCCGGAGCTTGACCGCCACAACTGCTCCGGAACACCCACACCGATAAGTAAAGGATCTGGGCCCAAGGCAAAAAACACTGGCGAGGTGCTTCGTACTCCGGGGTGTTTTCGTAATGAAATGCTGAGGGGACTCCGAAACTATGAGTTGGGGAGCAGGGTTACGAGGGCATTTCCTGCCTTCCTAAGCTGAAGAACCAAAGTCATAGATCGGGCAGTCAGCTTGCATTTGCCAAGCCACAACCTTTAAATATCGAAAAGTGGAAATAGTGGCCTGCCCGCACATACACACTGAAGTTGCACAAACTATCGAGGCCTGGCTCCGGGGACACCAGGACGCTGTGCGCGTAGAGTGTCCTGCCCAGCTAACAACATAGAAAGGATATCGCAAGTTAACCCTGAAGCACAGACAGCGCGCATCCCTCGAAGACTACGGCAGACGGATTTGTCTCTCACACTGCGCAGGCACCCTTCTGAAACCCTGGCAAGTCTCACACAAACCCTTATATCTTATACCTCCGGACCCCAACTCCAAAGATACAGTAAGCAGTGCGGGCGGTCCCACAAGCACAGGCCGAAGCCTGGGTCAGAGAAGGGGCAAGATGTTGCGTTAGAAAATAGGACATGATCTGAGACAATAGATTGTGTGACGGTTTATAATCTCGGCGTGCCTCGGCAGTAAAAGCCAAGCACATGTAGGATTGAGGTACACAAAGCACGGCTTACGCTTATGAAGCAAGTCTCGCTTGCTGAAGCATTAGTGGTGGCCAGATGCATGGCCGAATGCCCACGACGGACCTCCAGCAAACCATGAAGAGTCCTCCCTAGTAGCACAGCAAATTTGCAAAGAAGGCTTTCCAAACCGTACGCTGAATTGACCTCAAGCCGCATTCGCACTGGTAGTGGATTAGTCTGCAACGGCGCACCGCTGCTGTGTAGGCGGACTACCACAGTTACCCATGCATATAGTCCACTTCATTGCCTTCCTCGGAAACCTGAAATGCACGAACACAACATAGAAACCAAGGTCGTCTCCCCAATTCTAGCCGGGCAGGGATCTATTCCTTCACGTATACAGTAGTCAGACCACGTCGGGGTGATGGTAGGTAGGCATGGCTGTAGTAGCTTTCCGAGAAAAAGCCTCCACTGTCCGACGCAATACTGCGACTTAATTACTTCATGTCAGCAAGCCCTTAAGCCCTAAGAACATCCAAGCCCAAACTCCGTAAACTATAGGATCCTTGAACACTGAATCCCCACGCGCCTCCTCCCCATCTCGCCGTGGAGATCGAGAGCGGTCGACTTCATCGACCGCAGCCATGAAAGGCTTCAGGCTTAGGATGTGGGATTGGGCTTCAGGGCCTGCTGTTTAAGTGCGTAAATTGTAGGATTGTAGGTTTGGGACCTAAAGTTCGTACGGTTGCACTTGTTACAAGCTGAAAGTGTAGAAACCTCCGCAGTCAAGGGCTTATATAGGGCTTGGAATTCAAGGCTTCGGGTTTGCGACTCAAGGTCTCGCTTGCATGTCCTGGACGAAGTACGATTGCAGGACGAAAAATGCACATGCTGGCGCACACGTGAGTCTCTCGGAAGCTTCTAGTGTAATTATGACAACGAAGTAATACTGCACGGCGACCAAGATGAGATCACGAGAATCACGCTTTAGCCGAAGTCAAACGAGCCAAGCCACTACCCGCTCCCTAACTGCCTCGCCTTCAAAGTGAAACCTAAGCAAGCCCAACAAGCTGCATAGAATCAAAGCATCACCGCGGGTAAAGAAGAGGGGGAAGTGGTAGCCTATCACGCTAGTAAATTAGCAGGAGTAACGCTAATAATCATAATCATGACAGTAAGAACAACAATGGTTTAAATATTGCTACTACGAACAGTAAGCCTAGCTTCAACAAAACAACGCTCTTTTTGAGCTAGGCTTGCCACCACTCAGTCGAATGGTAGCTGCAAAGCATGAGGAGCTCAACGAGAGATGCAACGGTAAAATCTACTGACAGCGGCGAGAGATAATGAGAGTACATAGTTCTACCGTTGCAGGTATTAGTACAATGATAACAATAAGAGCAATAGTTCTACAGTTGCAGGAATGATGCCAGCACGAGGAGGGCAAAGACGTATGATTAAAAGTAATAATCAATATTGTATAGAATTTCAGGATTCGCTAGAACATGCTCCTCCGCGTCGAACCCTGCGAATTTTGGACACGTCCACATTGCAAACCCGAACTCTCTGCGACTGTAGGCTCTGCAGACTCTGTAGTCTACAGCCAGCCGGAAATTCATGGAGCAAAAGCTGGGATTGAAGAGCCAATTTTGTGCTGGGTCATTGTCGACATTATTCAATCGGCAAGTCCTGGAAATAATCCCAATATGGCACCCCAGCCCCCTTACTAAGAGCCTTAAAACCAAGAGGACCTCATTTGGCCAACAATCCTTTTGCAGAAGTAGCTTATGCAGCGCCTTCCGTCCTTGCTACATCGCGTTCCCCGACATACTGCATGCGCCGAATCCATTAATTTCGTTATGCATATAGGCCTTATTTGTGTTCAGAATCTCCTATAAACTTAGCATGCCAGTTGTACGTTGTTGGCTCAACCTCACGTGGCAAGAAAAGACAGCGCGCCAGGCGGGTCCCCAATCCCATCATGAGTGTAATGGGGTTCAGCTTGGCCAAGCCCTCAACACCCTTGTGCACTTTGATTGTTGTTATCTTAAGTACTTAGCACTGTTGTCATCATCATGTTACCCATTGTTACCCGCTGTTATTACAGTTCCTACGACTGTTGCCATTAACCCACTGATCAGACACCAAAGCTTGAGGCTTCGAATTTGTTCTGCTCAACTGAGTTCTGAATGAACACCAGTATGATTACCTCACAATATCTAACATCTGTAACCTTTAGCATGTACGGCGAAACCCCATTCTGCTTATTGAGGCCCCTAAATTAGGCGGGCTCTTTCAATCACAGAGCGGGAATGAAATTGGAGAAGCTGCCCTCTGCGGACTTGTCATTGCTTCCCCTCCACCCATAGGCCCCTTGCTACGGGGTCCCTCATGCAAAGGGCTCAACTGTTGGGGTATAATACGGTATAATATTAAGAGGATCTCCATCTCCAAGCCCTGTATGCCCTTTGAACTCAGGGATCCCTTCTCCCAGGGCCGTTCCCACAATTTCATAGCGTGCGGCCACCTCGCTTTTGCGAGAAGTTGGCCAAAGCAAGCGGTCCCCGGCCGCTTGCCATAGCATAATTGGCTGTGGAACTCCAGAGGGCCAGAGGGCAGCTAATGAAGGGAAGGATTCCTGCTATCACTAGTACAAAAAGGAAGCATCGCGACATGCCAATCAACCCAGGTATCTATACGGGAGCGATGCAAAATCCCATGGGAATGCCCGTGACGAAGTTGCAGCAAAAGCTCTTGCGTCAGAGGTTATAAACAATTTTAGCTGATTCTGCTAAATCCATGCAGTTCTTGGCTATCCTTGCCCCCTAATATGAAAGGGCGCCCTCCCTGCTAATGTATATGTTCGGACCCGTAACTGATGTTGGTGGGAGACGGGCGGTATTTATCGTACGGCCCGAACATTAGGGCGGTATATAACAGGATCCTTTTGAAATCTAAGTAAAATCACAATCAAAGTCAATGAACAAAGTTTAAAAAGCAAAAATCAATTCTCAAAGCAGTTGAATCTGACTAGTACCTAAGACCTACATAAAACAATTTAAAACGATTTAACATCGTAATCAAATCGTTCAAGTAAAATCTACTCTCAATTAAACTAAAACCTATTTGAACTCTAACTAGAACATGTTTAAAAGTCAAGCGAAATCTAGTAACACCAAAAGAAAGTTCGACGTTGCAACGAAACCAATCAACATGGCAGAACTTTATAGAAACTATTCAAAACAATCAAAACCTAGGAAATCCAGGAGTTCCCTAATCCTCAAGAGTCATGAATTCAGAGGATCCGAGCCGAAACTAACTTTAGTCTTGGCCCTTTAAAAGCAGTCTTGGGGACAGATGTCAGAATTTGGAATTCTGTCGAACCTGTATTTTATATCCGGGGGGGGGGGGGCTCTAAACACTGCCCTAAACCCTAAACCCCCAAATACTAGGGGGAAGGGATTGTCAGGCCTTGAGCGTCTGCATCCTAAGTCTGTTTTGCGAAGATATATGGTGGGGAATTTCCCAAATTTAGGGTTTAGGGTACCCTTTTGGGGCTCCCCAGAATAAGGAAGGTCTTTATGGGGGTCCCCGTTTTGGGGGAACTAACATATTGTTTCGCATGGCACTGGTGCCTGATGGAGGGCATTTCAGTATCCTGGAAGATGGTAGGACAAACCTCTTCATCTTGTAAGCCTGATGTCCATAACAAAAAACTACACCGCCTGCACCGGAGCGTGAGCCACATCCGCAAAGAAAACTATCAGAATAAGAGCAGATGGTTCCTGGTCAGCCCTCGCAGAAAGCTTCCAAGCTTTAAATGAAGCTTCGCCTGACAACTGCCCGCTGTGAGCTTTCGTTCCACACTCTACACACCCTACGATGTGCAAGCACAGACTTTTGTGCCAGCACATTCCAGCCATGTTGGCATAATTCGTACAGCTTGCAGAGCCGCAATTAGCTAATCTCGACCCTCAGGGCATGGTTGCCCCATAGCAGCCATAGCAGCTGGCAGCACCCATACCTGTAGATTGCAACCCTCGGCTTGCTGATGCCTCATTTGCGCGACCTTCTAGGATCCCTGGCATGAGGACCTCCAAAAAACAACCAGTAACTTTGAGAAAGCCTATCTGGCAAGCTGCACGCGAGGGCAACTTGATACACTCTGCTGCGCCGTGGAAGAACCATCCTGCCAAGTCGCATCATTGGCAAAGCAAAGCATGATGGGATTTCTTGAGAAATGCTCGTGCACAGTCTCTGACGCACCTGCACTGGTGGGGCAGGGGCTGGCAACTTCGATCTTTCCGCAGTCTGGCAGCCGAGTTGAGCAGAACGCACGGTCTTCGTGCAGGAAAAATTGCGCAACTCCCCGTCGGTGTGAGGTCTAGTGGGCAACTTGAAGGACAAATTCAGGGGAGGAAACAAGTGTCTGCACCCCATTGCGGAGCCTCAGGCGGATTGAGGCCACCTCTTGTCGCAGTCGCTGAACCTGAGACTCCAACTGCGTGCGTTCCAAGTCAAAGGCAGCCTCCCGCTGTCGCCTCAATGACTCCTCAGTTCTGAGGAGCTGCAGTGCATGCTCCTCCTCCTCTTCTACCCTTGCTTGCCAAGCTTGCATCTTGCGCTGGAGCCGTCGGCTGTCTGCTTCAGCTTGACGCTTTGCTTCCTCTAATTGGCTGCATGCCCTGAGCCGAGTGTCCTGAAGCTCAGCATGAACCTTTGATAAGCATTCTTCGGCGTACTTGGCCTTGAATGACGCAGAATTCAGCTCCTGATGGCAATCGCTAAGGCGCTTCTCCGTAGCCTGCAGCTGGGATTGCAATCTAGCCTTCTCCTCCGCAGCAGCGGCAAGTTTCTCGCTCTGCTCTGCAGCAGCGCGTCCCAGCTTCTCCGCCTGCTCTGCAGCAGCACGTCCCAGTTTCTCAGCCTGCTCTGCAGCTGCGCGCCCGTATTTTTCGGTCTGTTCTGCTGCAGCACGGCCAAATTTCTCGGCATGCTCTGCCACAGCTTGGGCAAGCCTATCAGACTTGTCACCACCATCTGCGGCATTTGCGGGGCAACTTGCCCGGAGAGTTGCCAGTTGCTGCTGCAGCTCAGAAACATGCTGCTCCAACAATCGTCGTGCCTGCTGTGCTTCTTTACAATCCCTCTGAAGTTGATCATTCTGATGTTCAACGTTGGCCTTCTGAAGCATCAAATCGGCGAGCTTTTGCGTCTGCTGCTCCCTGTCATGCATCAGTCTCTTACAGGCCCCTTCCCGCTCATCAAGCTGCTTGCGGAGGTCTTTCGACACCCTCTGCTGAAAGTCCCCAGCTTCCTTTATGGCGTTAATCTCCTTGCGCAAGCCCGCCTCCAAGCTTTCCGCCTCTCTCCTAGCTGCAGCCTCTGCAGTTTTCAAGCAGGCGTTCTGTATCTGGAGGTCTGCCAACTTTCCCTCACACTGTCTTAAGTTAGCCAGGCTTTCTTCATGGACTTGTGCCATCTGCTTTGCCTGCTCTTCATGGACTTGTGCCATTTGTTGGGCCTCACGTTTGGAGGCCTCTAGCTCCTTGCGCGTCTGTTGCAGTTCCTCCTCCTTCTTCTGCAAGCCTTTCTCTGCTATCTGATGCTGTTGCCGCGCTGCAATGACTCGCCGGTTTAGGCGCCTGACTTCCCACTTCAGCTGTTCATTCTGCTGGGCTAGCGCCAGCTTTTGCTCCATGTGGAGATGGTGTAGCTCCTGGAGCTCTGCCTGTTGCTCACGAGGGGCCAAAGTCGAGGCTGTGGAGTCAAACATCCCAGGTTCCATGCGCTGAAGGAGCTCTTTCAAATGGCAGTTCTCCTGGGTCAGGGTCTGCATGGGATCTTCGGTGCTCATGGTGGCATCCAAGTCGCCAACTCGATCTTCAGCAAACACCTGCGGTGAGGTGCCATACCTGCGGCATTTCCCTCCAATTTGCTTGGATGTATCTTTGCAGCAAGGCCAATAAGGGTCTGCGCTATATGTTTTGGGTGCGAAAGGGGCCTTGTCAACACATGGCCTGACTTTAGCTTTGAAGCAACCCCTAAAAGCTTTAAAGTGCTGAAGGCATTGCGCATGGCGCACCCCTTGGCCTGATAGCCTCTGTTTTTGCGCGTCTAGCAATGTAAGCTCTCCGTGCGGAGGTCCAGGACATTTCCAGTCAAAAAGATCATCCCTTGCATCCTTTTTGGGATGGGATCAGAGAACATCTACAGGCCTTCTTCACAACATCTTGACGTGCAAGCTTTCAAACCAACTCGTGCTTCACACTGATACATATGCACTCAATGAAGGCGCTGTATGATAACGGGGACCCTAAAGGGACGAGGATTTTGACAACCTCTATATATAGTCTCCCTGAAGTAGATAGAATATGGCCTGGGGTAGGTTACAATAAGATCCCCATAGACCCTATATTCTATCTACTTATGGAGGACTATACATTTCTGCAGTTAAGTGAAGTTGCCGACGATCGCGATGCCCGAGCGTGGTGTGCTGTCTGCCCCGCTGTTGGTATCTCCGCAGCTCACGAGCCACATGCTCCTTTCTGACCCAGAAAGGATTGCAGACACATTGTGGCGTTGATTCTGGGTTATTATAGTGGACGACTAGAGGATGCATTGCCACTTGCCACCCCATCAGTAACAAGTTGTTCTACAAAAGCTCAAACATGAACATCGCTCGTAGATATAACCTCTTGTTGGCAAACATGTTGGAAAAAAACATGATCTGTTCCGAGCAGATTGGGCAGTGGTTGTAACAAACTTCCCGCAACAAGCATGCTTCTTGTGTTCAGGCTTCCATCTAATTGGTATGCCGAAGCTTGCAGGGCTATGGGCCATCTTAAGACACGCAGCGCAAGACACCATGAAAAAAAAACAAGCTGCTCTCAATCAGGGTCAGGGCGCCACGTAGGCCTTGAATTCCGGATTCTCGCGCGCTAGGCTGGCGCATTGCTCTTGGAGTTCGGCCAGCTGCAACAGCTCGAATGACTCCTCAGCTTCTACTTCAAGGTCTGTAAAAACACTCTGCATGGATGACCCGAAAGGAGGCCATGCGCATAAGACCTGTAATAATCCAGAGCACGAACCATTCAAACCCAAACAGCTAAGTCCACAAAATAGCAAAGGCTCTCGGGGCTGGACGTCTCGCCATTGCTTCGCAAAGTGGCAGTCGCCAACCTGACCAGTCATTTCCCCTGCGTGATATGTAGTCCGGCATCGATAGAGGTTGTGGCAGCAATGGTGGTATTGGCGGTGAGAACGGGACTTTCATTAAAAAATATTCCTTCCTGTCATGATGTGCTTCATCAAAAGAAGGATAGCACTTCTGGTATACTTATCACAGCAGCAGCAGCATGATGAAGATGATGATGATGATGATGAGCACCACGAGGAGGAGGGGACAGCAGCGCTGACAGCTCTAGTAGTAGCAACAGTTGCGGCGTCACTATATTTGTATTTTCAATGTTCGCTGTAGAATGGGCCCTAGGAAGAACAGTACGAGTGGTTAGGTGACAAGTGTGACTCACGAGTAGCAGGAAAGAGTTGTCGCAGTGGCATTTAAGTTGTAGCAGCATTGGAAGAAGCAGCAGCGCCAGCAGCAGCAGCTGCTTTGGCAGCAGCAGTTGTGGCTCCAACGCATTGAAATTGGCCTTATGAGCCCCTCTGCATTTGCTGAGCTTTTCAGCACACATCCTGAGACCCTGAACTCTAGCTAGATCATTGTTTGTGCGAAGAGCATGAAAATGCAAGCCCCAGCTTCTATGCCAAACGCCACCTTCCCAATGCCCCCAGCTGACCCTTCCAGCTGCCTCTTCACCTACCAGGCTGGTCCCTGGCACCGGTGAATCTTCCGCTTGCTGCGGTCCCATCTCGGGCCGTCAGCGGGTGACAACCGTAGTGCTTAGACAAAAACAGGCACCCATGTTCCAATATGTTTTGACCTATGGGTTGCAACTTGTCCTCGCACTGGTAGACCAGATAAGTAAACGTCAGTCCTTGATGGTAGGAGCAGCTATCAGCCATGGTCTGACGTGCAGTTGCTTGTGCAGCTCGTTAAGTTAAAATCTAGATCGGCTGGAAACTACAGTGCAGGGGTGCATGCAGAGGCTTCTGGAAGGCTTCTGGAAGGTCCTAGCTGACCAGGGGCAGCATCAAGAATTAAACATAAACGGCCCAACTGATTCTTGGAATTCAGCTGGCTGCGCGGCAGCAACGCTTTCAAACACATGTGTGCTGCTCTACCCAACTTTTGACAGACAATCGCCTAATAGTTTTAGCTAAGCATTGACAGTTTACCGGTGTACGAGTAACTGCAGCAGTTGCAGTTGGCTTCTTTGGCAGGATTGCGTGAAAGATCACTGAACAGGCGGAACACTTCTACGTGCTCAAATGGTGCGTACAATGAGAAGCTGAATATCTCAAACCGCTCGGTTAGGGTTTGAGACCATGCGCGACCCCAACGGCTGCTTGCGAAGGCTGTGTCCCGCGTGTCGTAGTATCAAGCCCCATGAGATGTCCGATTCGGAGCCCGGTTAGTATGCAGTCATTTGAACAAGCTCGATGTGATGCGTGGCTGCTGAAACAATGCAAGACTGCCCGTAGAGTGAGCGAGACATACTTGTCTCAGGCATCCCCGCCCTCAGACTCCCAGCCACAAAAGAAACGCTAGTTCTGCGAAGAATCTCCCTCAACCCCACAACATGCAGACCCTGACCCCAAAAGATCTTCACCCAGTACCCTAGACCGTCAACATGATCCCTATACATCCGGTAGAAACCTGGTTTCCATTTCATGTTTGGTTTTATTCTTTTCCACTTGATACTTCTTTACAGCCTGAAAAGATGATTCAGGCCCACCTTGGCTCAGGTCTCAGTCACTGTTCGCAGGAAGTCCTCTCTCAATCCAAGGGGGCTTTAACATTTGCAAGGCTGCAAGCAGAAAGCCAAGCAATCTGGTATGATGGTTCCAAGAAAGCGAAAGCGTTCATCAAGGGGGGCCTTAGGGTTCAGAGGGCTGCAGTTTGTAGTTCCCCAAACATAAATGTGCGCTTCCTGACTCTTGACTTTAAAGGAGATTGGGGCAGGGAACCCGGAAAAATGCAACATGCTTGAGCATGGTTCCAGGTACGCGACATATGCGATTGTCTCCTTCTGTACCTCAGAAAAGCTTTGGGCCACAAGTGTCAAAGCTGCCTTAGAAACTGACAGAGAGGGCTGCGCTACCTACACCCTGCATGGCTATGTATACCAAGTATAGGCCACCTACATGCCCCAGAAGACAGGAGTCTGAATTCTCTCGAGACTTTGTACAACTGTACGAGATACCCTTGACTTACGAATCTGCAGACCATGAATTTCCCATATGAGGCTTGTTCCAGTCATCCTGCCAGCACAGCATGTATATGTGCATTTCCCATACATACATGTAGAGACCCCTGCTGTTCTGAAGCAAAGCCCCGCACCCAGAAACGCTTCCAAAATCCTAAGCCCTGTTGCGAGGTGAAGAAAAATGTGGAGTCCGCCATCTCCACAGTGGCAGCCATGTCTAGGGCGCTGCCCTGGCAGGATTTACAGCTTGGTGCTTGAGAGTCTCGGGTCGCCACATACCTAAACATAGTCCGTCGTTAACCGAGAAGAAAGTGCATTGGAGATGTATGAACATGCAGAAGTAAAGAGACCATAAGCGACAAACGTGTCTTTCTCTGGGAAGCTGGATGTCTCAAGCGGGCTTGGTGAAAAGCAGCGACACAATTCTTCTTGTTGAAAGAGGACTACTGGGTAAAAAAACGGCAATGTCTACGTTGCCATTTCTATTGCTATCAACTTCGCACTTGCCATCACTGTCAGCCATACTTTTTGTTGCTACGATAATGACGATGACCATCTTTTCTACAACTACCGAATACCATTATCAATTCTATGAACCTTACCGTGACTTTTGCTGCTTTAGATGCTATTACTATATCACCTGCTGGTGGCAGTAGTAACTTTAATTAAAATAGTAATAGTAATACCACTTCCATTGCTACTAAGGATTTTGCTAATGCTGCTAAGGGGGCAAAAATGCTGTGACTGTTGCTCTGACTCTTGCTATAACAGAGCTTCATGAAATTCCAAACATTTTAATTCATGAAGCTCTTGCTATAAATTAAACTGAACTGCAAGCCCATCTTGAGGCTACCAAGCTGAAACCCCTTGCGATATTCATGCGTCATCGTAGTCTTGTGCTTCCAAGCATCTACTTACTGGTGGCTGTAAGAGACCTACAGGGCTTCAGGAGAGGGTTGAAGGATAGCAAGGAGCTGCAAAGGTGATAGGAATTTTGTTTGTCGCCATGGCGTTGGCTTATTGAGTGGTTCTCTTATGAAAGTCAACACACTAAGCCAGGCATATAAGTGAAGCCGCCGGCCACTGCCAGATTTTTGACATGTAGCTCCTGGCTTACCATCTCAAGCCTTTTGTGCTCTTCAACTCTAGTATATAACCCCTATAATCCCTGTAGTTTCCATTTTTCTTTTCCATTATCACACTATAACCCCAATATATATTCTAGTAGTTTCCAATATATGACCCTAATATACCAAGATGTGGCAACTGCAGCAGCTTCTTGCGACCTCTCCTCGGCAGCAACCCCGAAAAATTCTAGTTCAACGGCCTCAAGTGTTAGACTAGGCCAGTACAAGAGTGATGTTGGTGACACCATTAGATCCTGAAGAACCTCCGCAAACTCAAATTGCGAGCCCAAAAAGTCACGACTTCGCATCTTCTGCTTGTTTTCAGATCTTCTTCCCAGGCTTCAGGTCTCTACTTCTCTAAACTCTGCAATATGTGCAACTTCTGCAATAATTTGAAAGAAATACTCATGCAACCAACTGTGCCGTCCTTTTCGTCATCAATGCTAATAGGTCTTGCTCAACAGCAAGCCAACAGCAACTAATTATGCCCCTATAATTGCCTATCATACCTTATCATGAGGGGGATCCACGAAAAGGAACTCTAAATCTTTGAGAAACCTCCTACCTTACGGTGAGTATCCTAAAGCCCTAAAAAGCCCTAAGCCCTAAAAGCCTAAAGCCTAAACCCTAAACCCTAAGCCCTAAAAGCCCTACCCTCTCTGGCCTTGCGCGAGATGGCTCCCGCCATGCTCTTCCGCACGTGACTGCAGCAGGGCGAACTTCCGTCGCAAAGGCAAGGGGTTTAGGGTTTAGGGTTTAGGGTTAGGGTTAAGGGTTTAGGGGTCTTGAAGTTAGTTGTTCAGGGTTTAGGGTTCAGGGTTTCCCAAAGAGCCCAATACCCCTTAATTAAGCCTTAAGGAATATGCCCTAAATGGTGCTAGGGTCACTAATATGACTTAAGCTATGTTCCTTCATTAAGGGGTATTGGGCTCCCCGGGTCTGGGGCACATGAGACCCAATTATTGAAGAGACAAGGAGATGGCACTACTACTTCTTCAGGACTTTAAGATGTACATGGCTCTGACGGGGTGACCCAAAAATGCGGCCCGCGCGTCTCGAGTCCTCTATATTTCCGGTCTCTGCTTCTTCAGGGAGATGCGGCGCTCTGGATACCCTCATAACTTCAGCAGCCAGAAATAGAATATTCCAAGTTCCCTCAAGGCTTTATGGTGTGACCAGAGGGGGAGATGCTAGCATGATGAAGTCTTGCGGCAAAGCTGGCGCTCAAGGAGTCCCGATGATGGACTAACAGGGAACACGACAGTAGTTGACTCTGCTTTCTTACAATGCACTGCTAGAACTAGAACCTGCTGGTGCTCCTTCTTTGCCCTGCCCAGAGAGGGTTGGGTGCAACTGGTGCAACATTGTGTAGACAAGCGGGACAGATTTCACATGAAAGTTCAGATCAACGACCTCAGCCTCCGCCAGCTGAGCATTAACGCTGAGCCCGAACGAATTAACGCTGAGCCCGAACGAGGACCGGAAATCAACTGTTGCGAAGCTTCAAAAATATAGTGCCAATGAAAATGGGGAAAACGTGCTGTAGCCAAAGCAACCGTCCTTGTAGCAGAGACCCTAGGGGTAGTTCTGACCTGCTATAGGCAGCCCTGCGATCGGAGTCTTATCTGGCCAATGGTACCTGTAATCATGGGTGCAACGTAGCAATAACAACAGCGATCCAAGCACAGGCAATAGATGGCATGCTGCCAGAATCCTGCCAAAG